AAAATGCAAAAAAACATTTTTAAATTGATTTTAAAAAAGTAACGGAAAAGTAACGAAAAGTTATTTTTCAAGTAACGGTAACTGTAACGAGTTACTTTTAAAAAGCGATAACTGTAACTGTAACTAGTTACATTTGTTACTCGGTAACGAGTAACTGTAACTAGTTATTTTTAAAAAGTAACTTTCCATTCCCTGGTTCTACATTAGTTGCAAGCCGATCGTAAGTTTGTTGCGACAGCCCATCTGAAGCGTTGATTTCAAAATGTAAGCTTGAGATTGGCTGTCGCAACCATATATATAATACTACTTCTTATATGGCTAGATGAGAGAGAAGTCCCTGTCCCAGAACCACGGTGCGGGAATATACTTCTCTCTCTTTCTCAGTTTACTTTGAACGTTGTGCGCATGCGTCGGATTCATCGCCTCCATCAATGAAGTAGAAGGATAAATATTATATATATGAAGGAAAAAGTGATTATTCCGCTTCAGGATATAACCTTGTTACAGTTAACAGAGTCAGTTTTGTCGGAATAAATAAATTAATCCTAAATTTTTTGCACTTAGAAGAGTGAAATTTTTCACTTAAGAAAATTCAGAGAGCATCAATACGTAAACAAGCCATAGTAAATATTAATCGTTCATACAACTGATTTTATACCTATGCAAACTGATGTTTTCAGTCGCATTAGGCTTTTTACCACATAAATAACATATCTGGATCATTTTACCTGTATACAGTACATACATTAATCATATCTAATAAGCATAACGAGCATAACTTGTTCGCGTCATCTCACTGATCGCTGATCTCACATGTGCTGAAGTATATTCTCTTTTCCTATTGGCGGATGCGATCAATCCAACGCATGCGCACAACACTCAAAGTAATCTTAGAAAGAGAGGGAAATATATATTCCCGCAACGTGGTTCTGGGACGGCTTCCTCTCACTCCTTCTTATAGGCACTAGTCTAGAGAACCTCTAGTAGAGAGAATCGCCAACTTGGTCACGTGACCAATTACGTGATTGGCTGGAGGAAATGAGCAGATTTGGGCATTTCGACACCAATGCATGACGTTGAACATATGGCGGCCTCATCGTTCGCGATGAAATATTTACGTCCCGATTAAATGGTCTTCACACAATTTTTGGTTATGTACATACTTTATAGCGCAATAGGGGAAACGAGACGAACCGGCGCCGGCGGATGAGGAGAAGTGCTCCCCACTCTCCGGCATTGAAAAGAGAGAGAAACTCATCATAATATCTTTTCTCTCTCTCATCGTAAGCATCACCGCTTATCAAAGGATGCTCAGTCTATACTTACCATGTAAATGGGTTC